TTGTGGTTGAGTTCTATACATGCAGATATTTGAACTGACACACACCAAATGTAACTTCATATGTGGTAATAATACCTAAACCTGTAAAGTGATCTTATCTGCTTGTGGTTATATCTTTTTTTAACACACTGCTTTTGACAGAAATAAATTGGCATAGATAACATCCCAGTCGGGTTACTTGCTTCTTCCATTTTTTCTATTTTTTCTTCCTCTTATCTCTTTTCAATCTTTTATTTTCTTCTGCCTCAACAGCTGACGATCACCAATGTGTGGTTGGTGAATTTGGCGATAGCAGACCTGATCTTCTGCTTCACACGAGTCTCCTCCCTCACTCGGCTGTTCTTGTCAGACCACTGGCCTTTTGGCCTCTTCCTCTGTAAGTTCACCGGCTTCTTCAAATATGCCAACATGTTCTGCTCTGTGTTCCTGCTGGCTGTGATCAGTCTGGATCGAATGGTCTGCATCTGGTGGCCAGTCTTCACAAAGCACCGACGCACCCTGTCGGCAGCGAGGGTGGTGGCAATCTGCGTCTGGATTGCAGCGATCTTCTTCAGCATTCCCTACTTCATCCATCGACAAACTTACATAGACAACAACAACCTGACTAAATGTTCTGTGAACCCAAAAGAGATGAATGAGGTGCACAAAAGTACCAAAGTTGCTCTCTATTCCATCCGTTTCATGTGTGGCTTCATATTTCCCTTCATGGTGATTCTCATCTGTTACATCCTGGCTGGTGTGGGCATCAGACGTACCCGTTTGGTGGCAAAGTCCCGGCCTCTGCGTATACTAGCATGTTTGGTCATTGCCTTCTTCCTGTGCTGGGCACCTTATCACTGCCTCCAACTGGTGAAAATGATCAATGATGATAATGTTGTGATAAAAAACTGGTTTTATGTAGCACAGAGCATTGCCTACTTTAACAGCTGTGTGAACCCACTGCTGTACTTTTGCATGGGGCTAAAATTGAGGGATGGGTCTAAAAACAGTCTGATGGGAGTTTATACAAGGGCTCTGACAGATGATACAGGTGGCCAAATTACTCCTTGCACTGATCAGTCTTTGGATTGAAGCTCTGTGTTTACAGCACTCTTGTAAAAGCAGAAAGGAGTTTGACAGCAGTGGGTGCAAAGTTTTTTCTGAATAATTGTGATGCTCGGAAGATTACGTGTTCATTTTTTAGTTTTTAACAAATGTAAACTGGAGTGCAGACACTTTGATCTGTCTGTTACTACACAGGAAATCAAATTATTATCATTTTTATTAGTTTCATTGTATTGTGAAGGCACAAAGATCGTAAATGTTGCTCAAAAAAATGTACATATGTATATAATATGTTATAGATCTTGATTTTTTTTCTTTTTTTTTTTAACATAGTAGACCATTTTTTAAATGCCTTCAAATTTATGAAAGAGTATTATTCTTTGATATCTATTGTCCGTCAATGTAACTTGTAATCCCTATGACTGTTGGAACAATTTACTCAAACAATATATAAAAATCTAATAAATTATGTATATGTATATATTCGTGTCTGTGTGTGTGTGGTTTCAAAGTTTGTCTCATAACCATCTGACACCTGACATGCAGTTTTTATGTTATTTGGGGCCGTTACTACTGAAACATTTCCACACACACTACTGAAAACCAAGGCGTTTCAGATGAACAGGACAGTGACCAAAGAGAAAACTAGCATATTTCAAAATGCAGATAAGTGCTAAGGCCTAAGCCTCAGCAGATACCATCAGAACTTTGTTGAATGCAACAGCTATGGGGCAGCAACCTGTTGCAGCTACAAGTGTGGATGTGCTGGATAGTCATCACTGATCAATGGCCATGAGTACCAGTTGGGGAATCGCTACAATCACAGCATTGTAAGATGGTGAATGATGTACCCAATGCCCAATATATTTTCTCAGAAATTACGGATTTATGTGACTGAGGACATCATTTCCTGTTTGATTGTAGAAACCACATTTTTACTCAACAGCTCTTTTCTTTTGAAATGCAACTGTTTTTGCCTCCACTGGTAAAATCTCTGGTAAAGAGAT